ATCTGGTTCATGAATTCAAAGGGCCGTGTGGGGCTTCAGGTGAGCATTTAGTCTTGATTAACTGTAGATCAGCTGTGGACACCACAGACGTGTACTTGTTGTTGTTATTAATATACTCCGAGGACTCGGTTCCACACATGTGCAGCAGGTCGGCCTCTACGAGCTCCGGTCGTGCTCATTGCTGCCCTCGTAGCGCAGTCGGTGACACACACTTGGGGCTTCACGTGGACATGAGAACTTGCCGATGAGGCTGAATGTGTTTATTTTGTGCATAATGGTTTGGCTGCACCTCACTATCGTTCTGAGGGAAAACGTTCTGGCTTGTTTGCAGTCCTTTAACCCTGTGAAACATGAAATAACTGCCAGAAAATTTACATTATTTGAAGCTAGAGTACTAATTGAAAAAAACAGAAATACAAATTTGCATATTTGAGTTTTTTTTTTAATAAATTTTTGCTATATTCTGCATTTTTAGTGCATGAACTACTGATCCATGGTGGATTACCTGTGTGCCCGACAGCATACATCAGAGGTTTATCAGGGAAAAAACTATCACACTGATGATGTAGAAGGTCTCAGAAACTCATTTATCAAATACGACTGACTTGGAGTTAAAGGGCTAAACCAATCACAAATGTGTGTGAAGGGCTAAACGAAGGCGGTGCTCCCTCAGAGTAGTGACTGGTGGAACATTTACATGGGATTTGATAATCCACTAGGACGCTGCAAACTCTTTAAATTGTCAGGTTGCTGTTCAGAGGCTGTTGTTGTTTCCATTTCCCATCATGAAAAGTGATGCATGCAGCCAGTGGAAGGAGAAAGTTGTGTGAAGCTAGCGGCCAGTTTCACACATGCACAGCACATCCATGTCTACTGCATGTATTCGGCTTGTGACGGACTCAAATTGTGGGCGATGTGCCAACTCTTGCAGACATGGGAATGGGGGGAAAAATGCACCCGTCAGTACTTGTGAATGCAGACAATCTAACACAAGCCTTTATTTTGCGTCTATGCATGTACTGTTGCACACACAGACGGTTTGTTCTGCACATGCTCGCTACTGCAATGTGAGGATGCAGATTTTGGGCTGCACGCGACCTTTGTTGACTCTGCAGATGCTGAAATTTACACCACTGAAGGCTCTCGCCGATGCTGCTTCAGATGCTACACAACGGGGGTCCTCACAAAGACAGAAAAAGCGAACATCGTTTACCGTTGTACCCGTCCATGTCCAGGTCTCCCAGAGCGGCGATGGCGGAGCCGTATCTGGCGTAAACCTCCGACCCGGTCAGCATCTGAGGCGGGTGGAAGGAAAACCCACTTCGACCCAGATAAACAGACACCTGGAGAAAACACACACACATGCTTGTATTATTATTATTATTTCAGAGAGAGATGAAGTTCATAATGCAACCAAAAATAACTCAAAAGCAATGAAATTCAACAGCAAATTAAACAAGACAAACCCCGATTAAAAGGATTGTTTTTTAAAGAAGGGTAAAAGAAGTAAAATAGAACGTAAAAGTCTATAAAAGTTCGATTAGAAACGACCATGGAGGGCTACATGTGACTAAACGGTCCCTAGTTTAATCAGATAGTTTCTGTGATGTTCAGTCTTTTATGAGGAACTTTATCTATCAGATCTGGCGGCTGTGGTTTCTGATCTGCTTTCTTTAAAGACAACAAACAAAGAGCAACAACGTCACCGTATAGTCTGTGAGAATGAGCTGATCTGGATTTGTGAGGCAGTGAAGGTGTGTTACGTCCTCCTTAATCAAGTTTGTACTCCAAAAATGTTGTTTTTGTTTTTAAAAATCCCTCTTTTTGTTCTGTATAGACAGTGTTCCCTTGTGTTGCTGTAGAGGAGGATGGTAGCTCTAAAAACTGCTGAAGTCAGTTTTAAACTTGCATTAAAGCTGCAGAACTAAGACAGCTTTGTTGCACGAGTATCTTTAGCACTGTGGAGACACCTTATTAGCCTGATAGCATTTAGCATATTAGCATGCTAAGCTCATCTGTGCTTCTGCTCCATGTGCATTTGTTTTTTATTAACAGAAAGCTTTATTGACCTAACATTTCTACATTTAGCGACGCTGTTAGGATGCCATTTCTTACCTGTCCCACCTCCCTCAGCTTTCCATCCGAGCCTCTGTCCATGAAGAGAGGAGCTCCGACCAGCAGGTCCACCAAACTGACAACACAAACAGATGAAGAACATGTGAACGATCAGACTTTCAGGGTGCTGCACGGCAACACAAACTGTCCTTCAGGCCGAACACTGAACACCGAACTCAGAAAGTTCTGATTGTCCGATACCTGCATCCTTTACATTAGCTTGTGGTCTTCTCCTCTTGCTCCTAATTGGCGCGCTGCAGTGTTTTACGACACGCTGCAAACCGCCGGCTGTTATCAAACTGCAGCTGGCAGAAATGTGTGTCAGCCTTACGTGTTGCATCGTCTCTCATTCATTGTATCTGAACTGCTCGGCTCTCGTTTTGGTCGATTCAATTTTGCCATTTTAGTGAATCTGCTTTTGAGATCCTGCGTTTGCACTTTGAACTGGATTTGACTTGTTAGAAAAGTCAGATAGATTGATGTTAGATAAACCATTCATCATGTGACGCAATATTAAACAGACAATTAAAAATAACTAATGAAGATTCTGTCCAGGTGTGACGATAATCAAACTACTACTTTGCCAGAAGAGAAATAAAAATATTCTGATGATGCAGCTCAGGACTCGATACGAGGACAAGAAACTTAGAAAAGTACAGCCTGACCTGCTGTTAGATCCTAATTCCATGTTGGGAATAATTTATAAGACAGTAATGAAGCTACTGCTGTCGTTCCATGTGTGTAGATATTTACAACTCGCTCACATTGATCCTGCAAGTATTTAATTAGCTCAGAGGAAAGACTCCTACAAACAGCCGGAAGCAACCAAGTAAACTTCAGGATTGCATTACCGTAATGTCCGGACTATGAGGGCACCTGAATATCCTCAGTCTCTCTCGTCGGTCTCAATATCACTTTGGTCTCGAGGCAAATTTGTAAAACTCGCAAAAATCCATAATCGCTGTTTAAGTCGCAGTGTTCAAACCGTGTGAAAAAAGTAGCGGCTTATAGTCCAGACATTACGGTAATTATTGGAGCGTCTCGTTAATCCGACCTGTTCCAGTTTGTGATAGATGTGAAACTGTAGAACTAATTGAATAAATGCAGAAATGCTTCACTTAACTTCCAAATGTGCTGTCATTCTGCACGTTTGTTGACAATCTGACCAGCTCTGACCAAATAAAACTGCTGCTTTTATAGAAAAGCGAGCGGCGTTCGCATTCAGGCACGAAGCCGACGCGTTGGGATGCCGTCTGAAATGGGTGTAAAGTGCGTTTTCATCCACCTGTTGTTAATTTATATTTCAATTAAAGCATGAAACATTTCTACACTCCCCTGAGGAGGCATATTAAGTTCGATAAAGGCCAAAACAGACAGACTTAGTGAACAAATGTGACTTTTAGATGTCACTCAGGCTTCCAGTGAAGAGATGCAAACATCAGATCTGTTGTTTCCTCTAACAAACATCTAAATGTTTACCAGCATCCTGACCTTGAATCAGTGCATCTTCTGTGTATCTCCATAAACAAATCGACTCGTGTTCACACAGCAGGACTGAAGGAAAATCCAACATGTGCATCTTCTGCAGACTGAGGTTAGTCAGCTGGGTGGATTTTTTAAATTCTTGCACACTATTTTCATTGGAACAAGAGCTCAGACCATACAGACGTCCACCTTCTTCCGGTGCGACGACCCGTAAACTCTTCACTCCGGCACTGACACCAAAACTCGTCCACAAAAACCTGATCTGGAATCTGGTTTCACTTAGAAGCGCCTTCAAAGCCGGAGGTGTCAGAAGGGCGGCGCGAGGAAGTGCTGCTGCAGCTCCGCGGGGTTCGCCAGAGGACGACTGAGGTTATAAAAAGTCCTCATGTGCCTTTAATTTCAGCAGCCGGGAGCCTCTGGCAGCAGAAGAGTCTAGTTTGTTAAAGCAGGGAGAAGGAACCGGAGCAGACTTACCCGTCGTTGTTGACGTCGGAGGCGGCAACTGAATGTCCAAAGTAGGCAGCCATCTAGGAGACACAAAGAGAAATGACGAGTTAACAACGATTTCACTTTACTTTCTGAATCACATCTTTTAGTAATATTTCAGTTGATTCTTGGTGTCACAATTCGATTTAGGACAGATTCTCAAATTCTAAAATTGATCCCAGGTCACTGACTCCAATGAGATCATGCAGATTTTCTTTATGTACACTAAGGTTAATGCATTAATTACAGCATTTTTCAGCATTTCTTGCGCTTTAAAGTTTTAAAAATCAAAGTGGAAACTCGCTGACTGTCACTCTGCTGCTTCTGGAAATCAAATGTAATGCTCATTACATTTTATTGCTGATTTTATGTTGGTGTTGTGTTGTTTTTTGGTGTAGCAATTTCCCTGAGGTCTTGTACCGAAGGGATTAATAAAGTTTTATTCTAATTCTAATTCTAATTCTAATGCTTTTTAAAGACTTTACTAAACCGTAACAAAGAATATTAAAGCCGTTTCTTTAGCGGAACTCGTTAACATCAATAACAAATGGATTTCTTTCCAATATTAATATGAATTTCTGTGTAACAAACACGCAAAATGACATTTAGATTTGTCAGAATATAGTAATCCAAATGTTTACTGAAATTAGCTGGTTCCTAATTATATGGAATAATAATTTACGAGTGCAAAACAAAACCGTACTCGACTAATTTTGGCAGCTGTTAGCAAAATGTGCATTTAAAATCCTCAGTATATGTGTAAAAGGATTTTTTTTATAGGCGTAGAAACTATTTGTGATTCAAAACAAGACTTGTACAGGATTGTGAGGAGGTGTTGCAGATCGAATGAGGTCATGTTAAAGCTCCAGTGAACATCATCATCGTCACCATTTTAGGATCATTTAAACAGCGAACCAGCGAGTCGAGACCACGAGACGGACCAGATACCAGGAGCGAGACAAGAAGCTGAAAGGGTCAGAGAGGAGCAGAAAACACCGAGGCCTTCAAAGAGGGAAGCAGGAAACTGATAAAGGAGAGTTCGGCGGGTTCAGAGGGAGAGTTATGGAGGACGGACAGGAAAGTGGAGAGGAGCTCTGTCATTATCTCCTCTGATGACAGCCTCCGACTCCCTCGCTGCTGCATCAGCACTAGTTTACATTCCCACTTCAGGTCAGTGATAACAAGCTGCTCCACACCTGGAGGAGATCCTGACTTTCCTTCTCGTTGACTCAGAGCAGGAGCAGCACGGCGGCTATTTTACAGACGCTCTCGGTTCACATGATGCTGCAACTACTTCTTATATAATGTTTATTTCTTTAGGGTTCAACAGACAAATTACTCTGAATTAGTGACGTAATAAAGATAATAAAATGTTGCACACCGCGTATTATTAATCTACTACTTACTTTTCTATTCTAGCCTCATTTAGCTGCACTATTGTGGTTTTCAGGTATATATCACACCTATATCTTGTTGCTTTTCTATGAGGCNTATTTTACGACCAGATTTCATAATTTGTTCATGTTTTATTTTCCAATTAGCTTTTTTTCTGTATGTAAATCTCTTTCTGTGACATTTTATCGTTTTAAATCAGCGCACACAGGCTCTCTGCCTCGTCCTGCACGATGCTTTCATCCGTTGGTTGTGTTCTCTTTGTGTGTTTCTTAAAGGTACTAATTAAACAATAAACTACTAAAAGAGTGACAGGCAGCGCTGTCAAACTGGGAATGATAATGTTCAAAAGGCTTAAAATTATTTCTTTAAAACGATTGTACGCGAGCTACAACGCAGAGAAAAAAAAAAGATGTATTTGAGAATGAATTTTTGGACACCGACTACTAATCAACCCACATTGTTTGAATCTAATTTAAAAGGAAATTATAAAAAGACTCAGATGATCATAACATAGCGTCCTCAGCGTTGGAGAACTTCTGGGTTTGTTGAAGGAGAACTTGTGAGCGTTCATGCACGTTCTGAGTTGTTCTATTGTTTTTACTGAACACGACTGAAGGGGATCGTCGTCGCCACGTTGACACTGATCAAGCATTGATACCTGCAGCAGGACAACGGCTCCAGAATAATAAAAACAAACTAAGAATTAAGAAGAAAAAACACTCAAAAACTTGAGGTGTGGCTCGTTCAGCTTCGACGTGAAAATCAATTTGCTAACAGCGATCACAGCTGCTAAAAATAAGAGTAAATAAAACAATCAGTATTGTTATTGGTGGATGTAAGGTAGGAAAGAGGAAATTATCGCACTAATACAACAGCTTTGTGTGTAAAGGTTGTAGCAGGTTAAACTGTTTATATTCATTTTGGAAGTGTTCACACCTCACCACAAAAGGCCCTAACGAACCCCTTTGTGGCAGGGGGGGCATTAACGACTCACATAACGAGGGGGAGGAGCAACAAACCCCCAACTGAAACTTAAACTCAGGTGTTAATGGCTCCTTTAGGATATCTGGAACTCCCAGCTAGTCAGTCAGAGCTGATGAAGCCTCTTGGATGAGAGGTGGAACGTCTTCAAGGAACTCAAGCAGGTCCAGCTGCTACGATTAAACTACCAGAATAACAACGACCTGGAGGACTGAGGATCTTCACAGACAAGTGCTGCTCTTAAATTCTGTAACTAGAAAACAGAAACAGAACACTATTTTCAACCTTATTTTGACCCACGGAGCTGCAACGTGCACCATAACCAGCAGCTGAAGCTACTTTTATCTTATGAAGCTGAATAAAACAACAACCACGTTTTCTACCTGTATGAAAGCAAACTGTTACTCCTGTGAGTTCACGTGTAATTTTAAAAAAAACAAACAACAACTTAAGGCCTTTTTACGTGAGCTCAGTCACTGTCGTTACAGGATCACAGTTGGCTTCAAGTCCAGTAAACCGGTGCAGATGTGCGTCGGCTCTGCTCTGCCATCATCTCTGTGTGATATCACATAACGTCTCCACAAAATACTACATCTCCTCCTCGCAAGGCCACTAATTATTCCCCTCCTCACACGGTGCTGGAATCGTTTCTGGTGCCATGTTTTGTTTGTATTTTGCAGCACACCTGATATTTAGATGCTAACTTTCTCTGCTATCACTCAGAAAGCTTTCATTCAGCTTGTCAGTGATGATGATGAACATTTCATCTGCAGCACCATGTCTTCGATTCATGAGGCATCAACGGTTCATTTAAAATGCATCAACAACTCTGTGCATTAACTCAGAAGACAAGGATCCTGATGTTTCTGTTAACAGATTTTTGCTGTTTCACTGCTACAGTTCTCTGTTGGAGCGGACTTCTGCTGCTCACCTGGGTGCCCGTATAGTTGAGCATGGACTCCATGTTGAGGCCGTTGAAGATGTTCACCTGAAACGTCAAAACACAACATCAACAGCTTTAAAACCTGCCGCGCGTCACGATACTAATAATAATACTCCATCAGAGCTCAAGGTCTGGCACTCAAGCGCTCCTTAATAAAATTACAGAAGCTCATTTCGTCTAAACCATCAATAAGATCAGTTGGACGACAGCGTTAACAACCAAAGCCTCATTTATCAGCCATCTAAGTCGGGGAAGCGTTCAGAAAGTTATAGTTTTCCCCAAAGTGGACAAATGTGAAGCTCTGACACTCACATAGCCGAGAGCCTTGTCCCCCCTCGGTACTCCGGTCACGTAATCTGTGGAGACAAAACATCCGATCAGACTCTGACTCGTCTTAACATCAGACCACCACCCAATGTCTGGTTTATACCACGGCTGCCCTAAACTAGCAGCATTTGTAATTACCAACATCATTCCTTATATCTCTGTGATGGTTAATACACCAGGATAGAGAAGCTCTTCAACCGAAGTGATATTATATTTAGAAATACATTAAATTATAAATCAAAAAACCCAGAAAAAACAGTAGAGCACATTGTAATTTATTGATTAAGATGTCAGATTATAATTATTTACTTGCATTACTGAACAGAAAAGTCAGTTTCAGTGCTTGAATGTGATGCTTGATTCATTTCTGAAGCCCAGTGGCTCAGATTTGGGCATAAAAAGGTGAATTGAGTTTGAAATCCCTCATTCCTGTTCAAAATGGTAAAAGGTGGAGAGCTGGGTGCGAATTTAAGCACTTCATCATGCTGGATGGTCAAAATATAAACACAGTGCTTAACAAATTAGACAGGTGGTCTAATGAATGTGTTAATCACTGTATATATAAATACATATTCTTCTATTGACTGATTTTTTTTGTCTATAAAATCTAGAAAATGACGTAATGTTCTGGAGCCCAACGCGACATCAACAAGTAAAGTCAGGTCACCAGTTTTTGTACATTTGAAACAACAAACTAAAAAGATCATGACTGAACTTAGAAAATAACCCGTTTAAATACTGAAACACTGGAGCTAAGACCCAATAGTGGTATTTATGTTGTGATTTTATGTGACTAATTTACATATTAGTGCTTAAAACTCCACAAAAAGCCCATAAAACACCAGTTTATCTGATGACAACACATCGTAAGACTGAGACCCTGCAGTCTTATTAACTACGGAGCTGCTTTCCAACCGCTCACAGACCCATAACTGTTCACTCGTCATAAATAAATCACCAAAATGATTCTCAAAACAGTCGCTGTCAGGTGATTGATTAACTATAAATGTAACTGCATCATCTGCATATAAATGGAGGATTTATTTTCGCTGATAACTGGAGCCAATGCGAAGTAAAACACACCGATGCAGTCTCAGAGAGAACGGTTTCATATTTAGCTGTTTGCAGTAAACATTTAAAAATACGTTATTTTCTGCATTTTACCAGACGTATTTACTGCAGCTTCCACCGGCAGAAACGCTGTTCATCGTCCCGTTCTTACCTTCTTTTCCGTCGTCGTTGAAGTCTCCGACGGCCACAGAGTATCCTGGAGAACACAGAGACGTGGACTCATCAGTAAAACTACAAACAACACGCAGTTTTCTGAAAGTTCTTCGGATGTCCTACAAGACGTATAAAAGTTCTCATAATTTGCGTTTGTTGTTTTTGTTCTCACACCCGACAGTTTGGGCTTCAGTCTGGATCATGGTTTGATCTTTTTGTTGGAACCAATTTGCAGGTTTTCTCCAAAAGAACATCCCCGATAAAGGTTCTACAGGACGGACCGGGCCGCCCAGTGCGACCACATCCACGTATTTCTCCATCACAACAGTCACGTCGTGTTTATAAAGTCTTCCTACTGCAAGTAGTTCACGTTACTACACGTACAGAACCACACAGTCCCACATGTTCTGGTCTTCAGCTAAACTAAACCATCACGGAACCGTTTATTAATGTTTGAGTATCTCCTGGAAGGTTCTTCAACATCGTCATTGTTTGTGTGTGTGTGTGTGTGTGTGTGTGTGTGGTTACCGAGGTAACTGTCGTCATACTGGGCGCCGGCTGACTTGGTGGCCAGCGTGTTTCCGTACGGCGTGATGTACTTCTTATCGAAGCGGGCGAAAATCTCAGCGACGTCATCGGAAATCAGCTGGCCTGGAAGAGAACGAAGGGGAGGAGAACGTTAGAGAACCCTGAGGACGAAACATTAGGGAACAAGGAGAGAACTAAATAGAACAAGGAGAGAACTGAAGAGAGNTATTTTACGACCAGATTTCATAATTTGTTCATGTTTTATTTTCCAATTAGCTTTTTTTCTGTATGTAAATCTCTTTCTGTGACATTTTATCGTTTTAAATCAGCGCACACAGGCTCTCTGCCTCGTCCTGCACGATGCTTTCATCCGTTGGTTGTGTTCTCTTTGTGTGTTTCTTAAAGGTACTAATTAAACAATAAACTACTAAAAGAGTGACAGGCAGCGCTGTCAAACTGGGAATGATAATGTTCAAAAGGCTTAAAATTATTTCTTTAAAACGATTGTACGCGAGCTACAACGCAGAGAAAAAAAAAAGATGTATTTGAGAATGAATTTTTGGACACCGACTACTAATCAACCCACATTGTTTGAATCTAATTTAAAAGGAAATTATAAAAAGACTCAGATGATCATAACATAGCGTCCTCAGCGTTGGAGAACTTCTGGGTTTGTTGAAGGAGAACTTGTGAGCGTTCATGCACGTTCTGAGTTGTTCTATTGTTTTTACTGAACACGACTGAAGGGGATCGTCGTCGCCACGTTGACACTGATCAAGCATTGATACCTGCAGCAGGACAACGGCTCCAGAATAATAAAAACAAACTAAGAATTAAGAAGAAAAAACACTCAAAAACTTGAGGTGTGGCTCGTTCAGCTTCGACGTGAAAATCAATTTGCTAACAGCGATCACAGCTGCTAAAAATAAGAGTAAATAAAACAATCAGTATTGTTATTGGTGGATGTAAGGTAGGAAAGAGGAAATTATCGCACTAATACAACAGCTTTGTGTGTAAAGGTTGTAGCAGGTTAAACTGTTTATATTCATTTTGGAAGTGTTCACACCTCACCACAAAAGGCCCTAACGAACCCCTTTGTGGCAGGGGGGGCATTAACGACTCACATAACGAGGGGGAGGAGCAACAAACCCCCAACTGAAACTAAAACTCAGGTGTTAATGGCTCCTTTAGGATATCTGGAACTCCCAACTAGTCAGTCAGAGCTGATGAAGCCTCTTGGATGAGAGGTGGAACGTCTTCAAGGAACTCAAGCAGGTCCAGTTGCTACGATTAATCTACCAGAATAACAACGACCTGGAGGACTGAGGATCTTCACAGACAAATGCTGCTCTAAAATTCTGTAACTAGAAAACAGAAACAGAGCTCTATTTTAAACCATATTTTGACCCACGGAGCTGCAACATGCACCATAACCAGCAGCTGAAGCTACTTTTATCTTATGAAGCTGAAAAAACAACAACCACGTTTTCTACCTGTATGGAAGCAAACTGTTACTCCTGTGAGTTCACGTGTAATTTTAAAAAAAACAAACAACAACTTAAGGCCTTTTTACGTGAGCTCAGTCACTGTCGTTACAGGATCACAGTTGGCTTCAAGTCCAGTAAACCGGTGCAGATGTGCGTCGGCTCTACTCTGCCATCATCTCTGTGTGATATCACATAACGTCTCCACAAAATACTACATCTCCTCCTCGCAAGGCCACTAATTATTCCCCTCCTCACACGGTGCTGGAATCGTTTCTGGTGCCATGTTTTGTTTGTATTTTGCAGCACACCTGATATTTAGATGCTAACTTTCTCTGCTATCACTCAGAAAGCTTTCATTCAGCTTGTCAGTGATGATGATGAACATTTCATCTGCAGCACCATGTCTTCGATTCATGAGGCATCAACGGTTCATTTAAAATGCATCAACAACTCTGTGCATTAACTCAGAAGACAAGGATCCTGATGTTTCTGTTAACAGATTTTTGCTGTTTCACTGCTACAGTTCTCTGCTGGAGCGGACTCCTGCTGCTCACCTGGGTGCCCGTATAGTTGAGCATGGACTCCATGTTGAGGCCGTTGAAGATGTTCACCTGAAACGTCAAAACACAACATCAACAGCTTTAAAACCTGCCGCGCGTGTCACGATACTAATAATAATACTCCATCAGAGCTCAAGGTCTGGCACTCAAGCGCTCCTTAATAAAATTACAGAAGCTCATTTCGTCTAAACCATCAATAAGATCAGTTAGACGACAGCGTTAACAACCAAAGCCTCATTTATCAGCCATCTAAGTCGGGGAAGCGCTCAGAAAGTTATAGTTTTCCCCAAAGTGGACAAATGTGAAGCTCTGACACTCACATAGCCGAGAGCCTTGTCCCCCCTCGGTACTCCGGTCACGTAATCTGTGGAGACAAAACATCCGATCAGACTCTGACTCGTCTTAACATCAGACCACCACCCAATGTCTGGTTTATACCACGGCTGCCCTAAACTAGCAGCATTTGTAATTACCAACATCATTCCTTATATCTCTGTGATGGTTAATACACCAGGATAGAGAAGCTCTTCAACCGAAGTGATATTATATTTAGAAATACATTAAATTATAAATCAAAAAACCCAGAAAAAACAGTAGAGCACATTGTAATTTATTGATTAAGATGTCAGATTATAATTATTTACTTGCATTACTGAACAGAAAAGTCAGTTTCAGTGCTTGAATGTGATGCTTGATTCATTTCTGAAGCCCAGTGGCTCAGATTTGGGCATAAAAAGGTGAATTGAGTTTGAAATCCCTCATTCCTGTTCAAAATGGTAAAAGGTGGAGAGCTGGGTGCGAATTTAAGCACTTCATCATGCTGGATGGTCAAAATATAAACACAGTGCTTAACAAATTAGACAGGTGGTCTAATGAATGTGTTAATCACTGTATATATAAATACATATTCTTCTATTGACTGATTTTTTTTGTCTATAAAATCTAGAAAATGACGTAATGTTCTGGAGCCCAACGCGACATCAACAAGTAAAGTCAGGTCACCAGTTTTTGTACATTTGAAACAACAAACTAAAAAGATCATGACTGAACTTAGAAAATAACCCGTTTAAATACTGAAACACTGGAGCTAAGACCCAATAGTGGTATTTATGNAAAACAGCAAACTTGTAATTAAAGGAGCCGCAGAGACGCAGCGTTAACAGCCGTCTAATCAGAAGCAGAGCTGTGTGTGTGTGTGTGCGTGTGTGTGTGTGTGTGTGTGTGTGTGTGTGTGTGTGTGTGAGTGTGTGTGAGTGTGAGTGTGCGGTTGTTGTGTAATTGCGAGTGTGGACTCAACAGGAAACAGTAATTAGGCTAACGGAGCGGCGCAGGAAGAGCCTCGCCATACTGGCATGAAAACATGTGCAGGACTGACTCAGCTGTCGGGACGTTACACCCTCTAACGTCAGGCGGCCGCACAAACGGGGATTACAACACACACACACCCACACACCCACACACACACACACACACACACACACAGCAGCAGCAGCCTCGGCTCCACCTGGTCGTTAAAACATTAGAGGTGAGGCCGTCGGCTGCCAGCTCAGACCCACATCTCATATCTGTTGGCTTAATAACGAACGCGACCATTTAAAAGCACAACAACACATTTCTTGTTGTTCTTCAGGCTTTAATTGAGCAGCTTTGTGTCGACACAGGAAGGGCTGTGTGGACTCTTTTACCACAATAAAATGTCAGAATAAATAAGCAAGTTGATCAATTAATTGACCGTTTTGAAATTAATCCAACAAGCAAAAGTGCCTTAATATATAAACTTATTATATATCACAGCCTCATGATGTATTTTATTTTGAAAAGTTTCAGTTTCAACGAGGTAAATTAGTCAGGTTAAAAAAAATCACACAATAAAAACAAAAACAATAGTCTTAATCCCAATATTGAATTAATTCAATTAGAATTATTTATGTTAAAAAAAAAAAAAAAAACATTTAAATGTGCTCCACTTGGCTCTAGAATATTGTTCATTTTACAGGTTTTATAGCAACAAAAAGACAAATTAATTAAGGAAATATATCTTCAGCAGCAGCCAGTAATACAAACACTGCTCAGGTGGATCCTTGTTCAGATATTAGCTCATTCTGTTGCACTGATCATAATGTTGTTTTCAGTGGAAAGCACTCTGGTGCAACCGCAGTTCAATGGTAGGTTATCCACAAAGAAACCGCGGAAATGTCAAAATGATCTTCCACAATGATGCAATGGTGTTTTGTTTTTTTTATATTTTGCAACTAAACCACATCAACTTATTTGGCTGCTTGATGCAAAATTAACCTTCCTCCGTTGTCATTTTTTGTGACTAATAAACAAAAAAAATCCTCTCTGATAGAACAGAATCTCCTCAGATTGAAGGGTTCTGGGAGACTTTTTTTGTTGTTGTTGTTTTGCCAAATGAGCAGCAGCAGGACAGACACGCTAAAAAAAGAAGAAAATTCGGTTGCAAAAATTAAACAATGAGGCGACAGAAAAGACGACGTCGATATAAAACCGGTGCTTCGTCGGCAGCATGTGGCGACTGTTGTGCGAGCTGCACCACAAAGTCAGATCTGAATGCCATCCAAAGTAAAAACATCTATTTCACCAGCGACTCTGCCAGCGTTACACCCTGTGAGAACGTTTCCAAGCAGCTGCTTTTAAAATGAGGTTCGATTTCCGAGGCTGATCCACTCCCTGCAAAATCACTGTTTCCGAACAGAATCGTTCAAGACGTCTGATTGTAAAAATACAAACCACAGAGAAACATCAAAATGGAATTAATAACAACACTGAGCATTCTCACATTTTACTGTTTTTACTTTGACTCCACGACCAGTCCAGGTTCTACAAGCTTCCCAGGACTCGTGTGAACCCTGATTATAAAACATCATTAAAACTTGAGCACTTTACTGTCAGAGCTGCTGAAGGTGAATCTAGTCTGACCTGCTTTAGATTATATTAGCTGTTAACTGGATGTCTGCCTGACTGGTTAGTGGCTGATTGTTGTTTATCTCACAGTAGAAGTATGAACACTGAAGGACAAACACTGACAAGTTGTCATTTAATCAAACATATATAAAAAACCAAAGCAAACACGGCTTTGTCAACAAAGGTTTGTGTTATTGTAAAGCAAGAAATGTCACTTTTATTTGAAATGTATATTAGTTATTACAAAAAAACCTTCACCAAAGCACCACTGGATGAATGTTAAGTGGATTAATTGGAGGTTTACAAAAGTAAAACTGTTCTGATGCACAAATACGAACTCATTGTTCAGAGATAAATGAAGCCGACATCAGATATATGACATGAGACATGAATAAAAAGTGTTTTTAAAAACTTGTATTTCATAAACTTGTGTTTTTATGCAAAACCTGCATCTTAAAAGTAACTGAAGCTGCAGTAAAACAGCAGATTATTCCCTCTGTTTGAGGTTTATGTGCAAATTAAAATGTAGACGACTCAGTAAAGTCCTTGTATTTGGTTAAAAGCCACCGCTGGTGAGCGTCAGAGTCACAGCACCAGAAATATCCACAGATTCTAGCTGATGTTTCTCTGCAGAGACGCCACGGTGACTCAACACACCCTGCTCATGCTGATCCAGCAGCATCGGAAACCACCGACGCACAACGGAGCTGAGAGTCTAGACAAACAGCTCGCCGTGTCGTCAGCCACGTGGACGCAAACGTCTTTACTGGTTTTCTGTCAAAGCAGGACTTCCGGTTTGGATGGACGCTTTAAAGAACCCACATTCTAAGTTTCCTTCTTTCCTCCAGCATGTTATAAAGCTGCTTTTTGTGAACGTAAAAAGTCTGGAAACCTACAAATCCACACCAAAGACAGCTGTTCACACTGCTGCTTCAGCGCCAGGCTTTTCTTCCGCTACGTATTTACATCACCTTGTGAAATGTTTGAGCAACAAACACTTTAAACAAAGGAGGAGCAGCTTCCTCCTAACTCCTCACTAGAGATGCTTCTACTGGGGATAAATCTCTGAGCATCCTCACACAGCTGAGGTCACGGGAAGTAAACAGAGTTGCTTCGTTATCTTTCATTTTCAGGAACGAGAGACTTAAAGAGTTTCAGACAGAGTGTGTTTTTAACATAAAAATAATGCTATACGAGTAGACCCCAAAGCTAAACGTAGAAACCTGTAAATGTGAATATTAAAGGCTCTTTAAGCCTTATATGCTGTTCAGATTTAATTCCTGAAAAGAATCCCCTCATCGTAAGCGTCTGTACCAAGTTCTAAACTACAGATCTATCCAGAATGTCTAAATAGTCGATGTCACGTTAATAAATGTTAATTAAAAACACATAAAACGTGACCTGTACAGTTTCTAGATTCCCTAAAAGCACCGTTTTCCTTGAGTTGACCCACACTGGTGGATCTAAAATCCATCTCGACGGATATACGGGTCAAATTTGACCCCAAACAGCCTCAGTAGAAACCTGTCGCACTTGTAAACAAAGGATAAAGTTGGTAATTTTGGGAAAAGTCATCAAAATTCAGGCTAAAAGAACAAAGTTCAGCATATTTTTACTGCTGTCAAATGTCAGAACGGGTCAAATTTGACCCAAAACTGTATGTGAGGGTTCAATTTCTCATTTGTTTGGAGGAAACATATGAAGTCAGCTTAAGCACAGCTATCAGCTATTTAATTAGTTATTTTTGGAAAAAGGCATCACTGATTTCTTGCCGAGTGCCAGACAAGAAATCCAACACAGCTCTCCTGTCTGATGATGAAGCTCCAGCTCGCGGCTAGTTAGCTTAGCATAAAGACGTCCGTATGATGAATATCTTTGGATAAAAACAAGCAAAATAACTGAGAGTAGCTGCTGTAGAAAGAACCTCCATCCAACTAAACTCCATTTGAAAAAGTTTCACTTTAAATCCAGGTAGAGAAAGTTCATGAATGAATCCTGATGACCAACTAAAATAAAGACTGAAACAGGAAAACAGCCCCACTGCTCACCTACCAGCGTCTCCAAAGACTAACACGTGAAGTTTTGTTTGATTAATAGAAAAAAAAGAACAAAAATAAGAGGCCACAGCTTTCAACAGGAGACCTGTGTGCAGACGACTACAGTGAAGCTGAAGCTGTGATAAAGCCTAAGTGTCCTTTAAGGACTGTGGGAAACCCCGACGCCAGAAACCCGCTATCAGTCTGGCCGCCAGCTGGCAACGCGACGTTTCCAGGGGGATTCCTCCTCGCCCTCTCCTGTTTGTTATTCATAGCCAGACGCCACACAGTTCACCTTCAGCTGGTGAAAATGTGAGCGCAAGATGGATGAAGTGAAAGTGGAGCTGATCTGTTTCTGTTTGAGTCGCCACACCTGCTTCAAGGCCGCGACGACGAAAACAAAACACTCAAGTGAGCCGGAGCGACACTCACCCTGCCAGTAGAAGCTGCCAGGTCCTCCCACCACCACCCGGTTGTTCTTCTGAAGCAGCGACAGGGAAAAAAGGGAAGAAAATCAAGATGTTTAGCAGCTTTCACTTCTTATTCGGGCCCTCAGATCAGTCACGTTGCTAATCCCAGATGTGTAATGTTTACATGGAGACACATGCACAAGCCTAGTTTCAGGAAGTGTCACCGACTGCTGTGCCAAGTTTCAATATCCTCCCGTAACGCCTTCATACTGAAATCATTCTGCTCCTGACTAATACTATTATCAAATGGGAAGTGGTGGCCTTGGGTTGACGTCTGAAACTGAGCTTTTTATGGCATTGCCGGTACTGAAACTTGGCACACCAGTGATGACACTTCCATCTCTTACTGTGTTAAACCACAATTCAAGATCTGGCTGTTTGGAAATGTATTACTTCTTTATCTGTGTCAGCTTTAACTGACCATAACTCCCATTTCTACTAACATATGAACGCTTTCCAAGCATCCATGACATCATACACATATTTTTCTCACAATTTTCTCTCATTTAGTAGAGATATATTTTTCCAGATGTTCTGAAAATCCACTTTTTTTGAGTGATTTCTGAACTAATCCTGAATTTGGGAGGTCCTAAGCAAATAAATAGTCTTGGTGGCCAGAATCTGCAGCGTTCTTTCCATTTACCAGAAATTTCTGAACATCTACTGAAAATGTAAACACTCTAGGACGTATACCTCAAGAGATATGGACGTCTGAAAGTGGCATCTCGCTCAATTTCCAACTCGTGAATGATTTGTTGGAATTTCAGCTAAAAAAAAAAGTCACGCTCAGATGCCAAAGATCATTCCTGCAAAGTTTCACCAGATTCTAAGGTGACCCTGAAGACTTTTTTCCATCAAATTGTACCGTCTTTACTGGTTAAATATCCTCGCAGCAAGACTGAAGTTCAACCCAACATAAGTTGGAGTTGTTCCACTGCTTTGTTGCCTACCTTCAGGAAGTCGGCGCTGAAGCCGGCCTGGCAGAAGCCCTGTCCTTCTGGTGAGCTGGCAGCTGGACAGAGAATCAAAACAGCAGCATTAGATCACATGTAATATAATAACAGTAGT